AATTATTAAAATTAAGTTGAATCAAGGTGTTGGGTCCTGTTTCATCCTCAAGCGAAAATTTAGGAATAAGCTATCTTGTGGTTTGCGCGTGTTTATAAGTATGATCCATTGCAACATTAATTACTATGGAAACGGCTATGCCGGCCATCTTGGTTAGGTGGTCAGACTGTTAATTCTTATCTACAGATTCGTCACCTTTGGAAAGGTTATGCCAAAGTAGAGTGGGGTATCTATTTCAAGGCTAATGGTGGCGGTCACCGTCTAGTTAGTTTACAGCGGAAGAAATTTCATGGTGCAACGGCAGGTCGTTAAGTGTCGAGACGATTTTGTTTTATTGTTATCTATCTGTTAATCTCTTTATTTATTTGTTTATTCTAATGGCTGTTCCGTATAGAAACGAGTTGTACTTAACTACAATTAGTTTTTTGACGACTTCACAAGGGGTTTTTTCTATTTAATGATTTGGCTAAGCTTTTAAGACTTTTATTAAACTATAGAATTTATTAATTTATCTTTTTTTATGTTAATTATTTAATGCGAAAATTTGTTGATGTCGGTAAAAAACTGTTAACTCCTACCTATGGTTTAATAACTTTTCATTTTTTAGAAACTTAATGATGTGTAGTTTTTCGTGTAGGCATAAAGGGCATGGATCATCCCAGGTTTTACAAGTTCTTGTTCTATTTATTATTTTCCATTTTACTTTTGGTGTTTTATTCATTTTTTTAGATGCCAGAAATATTAGGATAGGGATGTCTGATTTCTATAAACTTCATATATATATATATATATATATATATATATATATATATATATATATATATATATATATATAGAGAGAGAGAGAGAGAGAGAGAGAGAGAAAAGTTGCAAATTAAAAAAAAAAAATAATGTTTTTTATGAAAGTATTTATTTATATATTTGATATTTCAGATTGACCTCAATCTTTCTTCAGAAATAACTGTTTGTTACAAATAAATTAAAATTACTGTTTGTTTATTATTATGTTTGTTTATTATTATTTATATATGTTTATTATATCATTATGCTATATATATATATATATATATATATATATATATATATATATATATATATATATATATATATATACCACGATACTCTTTTAAATCGTTTACAAGGGTTTGAAGATGATTTTTTATCCAAGATGCAGCTTTTTTTTTACCGCAGATGCAACATCGCAAACCTATAAATATCGATGTCTACTTATTAGTTACCCCAGTACGTATCTTTACAGCTGGGATTCCACATGCTTCGTCCAAGGTGCCGAATTACCCACATTTTCCCCGTATTCCATTTGTAATGTGAAAATTTGACTCTAAACCCTTCTTGAAAACTGCTACTTTGTGAAACAGACTTCCAGTTGGCTGCTTTCCTGAACAATATAGAATGAGCCATGTTTTTAGGTTTTTAGCCATCCTTAATTACAGCAATTTTGGCTTGTGTAATAACGTATCTTATTTTTTTTCAGACAATACAGTGTTAGTATCAAGCTACTCCCATCTATGAATGATAGTGGACTTATATTTTGCAATGAAAGTTCGCGGAAGTAAGGAAATTAATGAATTTCATCGAGGGCAAATAATAGGATGGCATCAGTGTGGCAAATCAAATAGAGAAATTGCGAGGTTTTTCCAGGTTAATCATCAAACGGTTAATAATATTGTCAAGGAATTTAATGAAGAAGGCCATTGTCATGTGGAACAACATTCAGGAAGCATCGTGTTTGAGCGAACGAAAAGGGCACTGAAGAGGGAAGTCATCAGAAACCGTCGCCAGAGCGTCGAAGATGTCAACAGCATGGAGATGTTGCCATATGCGGCGAGAAAGACTCTGAAAGAGCTTGGCTATCAAAGAAGTGTTGCAAGAAAGAAGCCTTAGGGTATAACAGGAAGAGGCGTATGGACTGGGTGAGAGAATTCGAGAAAACAGATTATGAATTTTGGCAGTCTGTAATTTGATCAGATGAAAGTAAATTCTGCCAGGTTTATATTTGGAGAAATCAGAATGAGACTTGGAGCACCGAATGTCTGGAGGCAACCGTGAAATTTGGAGGGATTGGAGTAATGGTATGGGGCGCTGTCTGGTTTGGAGGGAAATTTGAGCTGATTCTTGTTGACGAGCGGTTGAATGGGTCCAAAATACTGTCAAATATTTGAGAAAGGTGTACTACTCCTATTTGAAACCAATCTGGTTAACAAGAATGTCTACCTTTTTCAAGAAAATGGAGTGCCATGTCATACGAGCAAAGTAGCAAAGGCCTGGAAAGAATCGCATGGAATCAAGTTATTGCCATGGGTAGCGCAGTCTTGACATAGATACAATAGAACACGTTTTGTAGCACCTGCTCCGAAAACTTCCAGAGCGTGCAACCAAAATCACGTAAGTGGCAACCTTTAAAGAAACATTGCTAAAGGAGTGGCAAAATATGACTCTGACGATTGTTGATAACTTGATCAAATCAATGAAAAATCAAATACATGCATTGAAACTAGAAAATGGAGGAACTACTCTATACTATCTGTCTATATTTCCACCTGAAGAAGGCCGGAGCGTACAACGGCCGAAACGCTGTGACAAATATGGCGACAAAGATGAGGACAATAGTCCGACTAATGTAAATACTGTACTCTATACTAGTTTCAAATATTGTTTATTTATGTCGAGTTGGTATTACGTAATTAAGTTTTGAAATTGGATGTAGTTTATTTCTCCTGGCTAAAAACTTTTCTTAGGCCAATACAATATTAGCATGTTTACGAAATCTCTTCAAACACAGTTTATTCAATAACACTCTACCATGAATGGCTCTTGAGTCTTGTATTCATTGACAATTAGTATAAAAAATAAAATCTATAGAGAATGTTGTTCTTCTTCCTTTACCAATAGCTATGCTAGTTCGTCTTATTAGTTAGATTTTTCGATTTAAGTCTTATGTGTCTGCATTAATGTAAGAAGCTCTAAAATCGAAGACTTTTCCTCGTTATGTTAAACAGACACAGACCTCCTCACCCCAAACCTCGGTTTGCATACACACAACTTTTATGCCTATGAATCTCAGCAACAGGTCTTCAAAATCTGCGCAACCCGGGTCATATGTTTATCGATCGACCTTCCTTGATTTACATCGATTTGCTTCGTACCTGTTCGACAGACAATATGCCTGCTGGCCTTCCATCGACTTTTGTTGAAGGTGATGAAGATTCGAAAGAAAGGAGACAGCGCAAACAATTCTTGGTTGAGAAAAATAACTGTGTCTTTTATTTATTTTTTCTTTTGTTCTCTTCATGGTTCGATCTGTCCTTGCTTCTGCTATATTTGCAGGCTATTTTAGCATAATTACGGCATACCTCATCATAAATGTCCATTGAATACTTATTGATTTCGATTCTATTTTTAACTTAATATATTACGCATTAACTTTTCAATACGACTTAGCAGAAAATATTAAGAAAGCAAAAATAAAAAAAAAATATCGTTAGATGATTTGCTTCTAATTTTCTTATCTTTTGTATCTAAAAAGTAAGCTTTCCTTCAGCTAACCGGTAAATCCTTGTTATATGAGCTTTACTTAAAAAAATACGAGCGTTCCTCTTTCTCAGGTTTCATAATCTTTTTCGGAATGATTTTAGACAAATCGGTCTTCTCATTGCATTTTTCCAACTGATAATTTATAGTAGGTACCTCCAAAAAATCGCTAAAAAGTCAGCATACCGTGATGAAAATATACTGTAAACTTAATGATAACGTAGTTTTATCGCCAAAATCTTTATGTTATTATTAAGAGGAAGGATCAAAGCATTTTTGGAATATTTATTTAATTTTTTTACTCCTTTTTAGAATATTCTAAATTTTGATTAAAAACTTACTAACATTTAGCATAACAAATTTCAGCCTTTTTTTTTGCGATGACAGACATTAATTGAAAATACTTGCAAAAATCAAAAAGCTGTCGGGTTTTAATGAAATTTTCAGAACTTATTCACAAATAAATGGAATTATTTTTTTAAAAATTTCTTTATTACAAAATATCGGTAAAAATGGGTTTCACCCACTTAGATAATTTCACAAAAACTTGAGAAATTCAATCTAATAATTTTTAGAGACTATATTAGTTAAAAGCAGAATTCAAATCACAGAATTATTTTTCAAAATCCGGCCCGTCTTACCGAAAATATGTTCTGAATCAAAATATAAAAAACGCAATTATTATATGACATTATTTAATTAGAGAAGCTTTTAATTGCTATTATGAATCATATATATTAAAGTAAATATTGTCTTAAAAAAATACTGAAAAATGAATTTTTACAAGATTTGCTTTCATTTTTTACTATCTTGAATTATTTATAAAGTTTTTAAAGTCTACTAAAATTCAGACTCAGTGTGGTAACAGTAAGGAAATATTTCTATGAAGTAAAACAAATTTACTAATCATATATGGAAATGATTATTACAATCTGTATGTTTATATACGTGCAGAAGTATTGAGATACAAAGCTATCATTAAAAGGTCACATGTTTTAAGGCTTGTCCCAATTACGGGAAAAAAAAACTAATAAATACTTTATCATCTGCTTCGCCATAATTAACTTTGAACAATATATATATATATATATATATATATATATATATTTGCAAAATTTGTAAACCCGAGAATTAAATTTTGTTTACAAATGTGTTAAAATGGCCGATTTCATCGATTTAATGGAAAGAAAGAGTATTTTGCTTACTGGAAATAGAAAAATTTTAAATGCTTTATCTTTCACTATATAATATCATTTCAGCTATAATATTAACATTAAAAGGTCACATGTTTTAAAGGTTGTCCCAATTATGGGAAAAAACTCATATAAACTTTATCATCTGGTTCACCATAATTAACTTTGAATTAATAACGTTTCAAAAATATTTTTTTGCAAGATTTTTAAACCCGAGATTTAAATTTTGTTTACAAATGTGTTAAAATGGCCGTTTTTATCGATTTTACTGGAAAAAAAGAGTATTTTGCTTACTGGAAATAGTAAATTTTAAATGTTTTAGCTTTCACTTAAAGCTAAAATGCAAACTTTAAAAAAGCTTTTCCATTTTAAAAATCTACTTCAAACCTTACGTTTACCAAATTGGTGGAGATACCTACTCTATAGTTGTTTTATTTTTTGTCACAATGCTTTGATCGCTCTCTCTTGGTTGTTTGTTTTATTCATAACTTTTTGAAATTAAATAGGGTTCTTTTGAACTACTGTTTCAAAATAATTTTATTCCAAGCGAGAAGAAAATCCTACTATGACGCAAGGGTTTACTGGGAGGGAAATAGAATGAGAAGAGGAGAAAGAAAAATAAAAGAACAGAATTCAGGAAGTCAGAAGATGGCGACTGAGGCTTTATTTAAATTTAAAGAACGTAGGTGGGAGAGGAACGATAACTTGGAAAGAGTTCCACTGGCGAGAAGTGCGAGAAAATAAGCTATTATAATAAGAGATACGGTTACATTTAGCTATTTCAACACTAAAACGATGGGATCTATTTGCCAGTCTTGTCGCTTAACTTCATGGATATCGGTCTATTTCTTTCTCTCTCTCTCTCTCTCTCTCTCTCTCTCTCTATATATATATATATATATATATATATATATATATATATATATATATATACACACTATGGATAAATGTGCTTGAGTAGACATCCTCAGTTTTTAAACAATCTACCGATTGATACATTGGACAGACTAAAGTATAATGAAAATAGTGACTTCGGTCTTAAACTTTGAATTTCCTCATTGTGTGCCCAAGAAATTTCAACTCTTCCTTTCTGATTTTAAGTAGAAGTGTCATTTTTGTATCTATTTTCTGTAAAATTTAGTCGTTGCTCACAAGTTTAGTCCATGTTATTCTCAGCATCCTTCTATAGAACGACATGTCTGTTGTCTCATTACTCATCTCCATCAGTGAGATTGGCCAGCATTCACTGCCATACCTTGTGAAACAGCAAAATTGTCCAAATGTAACAGCATAGGATAATTGTTCTCCCCACAAAATGTTTAATATCTAAAAAAAAAAACACCAATAAACTGATTTTTTTCCATGTTTTCAGATGTCTAGCCATCTTGACACCATTTGTCGTAAGAATCACTGAAAAACCCTTTGAGTTATTCAGCTAGAAAGAGAATAGGTTAAAATCGTTTTGTGTCAGTTCCACTATGTCTTCCCAACTGAGCAATGGTGAGAGGAAAAAGATCATTCATGCCTTCAGTAATGGTACTAACATTCATGCTCTGGCTTCCATCTTCAAAGTCCATTCAAGAACCATCAAGAGAACAGTGAATAGGTTTAATAAAGAGGGAATAGTAGAGAGGAAAACTGGATCAGGAGGTCACAACAGCAAGAGGAATTATCATTTCAAATTAGGGCTAAATACATTCATGTTGTTCAAAGTAGAGTCCAGTGTTATAAAACCTCAGAGAATTCCAGTAAGATATCTTTAATCATTTCTAAGATACAGCGGATCAAACTTAATTTAATAATTGGTCAATTTTGCTGTTACACGGTTTGGACATTTACGCTGTTAGGTATAGGAGGAGGGACATAATCAACAGTTCAGTATTCTTTTCTTTATTTAAAACGAGATTTTCCAGTTTCTTAATACATTGCACATCTGAGTTGCATTTTCGTCTTCTGTTAAAACACTTCCTAAATATTTAAAACTTTATCCTTTGCTTGATTTTAGTATCTCTGATTTGTACGGTTTGAAATTCCAACGTATATCACCTGAGTAATCTACCACTATTCCCGTATACGAACAGATATGCACAGTGTGCCAGCTGCTAGGAACATGACTAATTGTTTCAGGTGAAGCAAATGTCAATTAAACATCTAGTAATGAACGGGACATTTACTGTAGCCCATCTTAATTTCAGTCAGTCAGTTATGTGCCATGCGTGATACACGCTTAGGTGATCATGTATCGAAAGGTACATGATTGACGAGGCAGATTTTTTCCGCAGTAGGTTTCCATTTCTTTCAACGGTAGATCAATGGCCATCCAAGGCTACAGAACTCGGTCTGTCCTTCTATTTCTCCATAGCTGGAGGGAGAAGAAGAAGATTCATACCTTTTCCAAGGGTATTAACACGTAAGTGAATGTAATGGAATAGACTGGAATTCGAACTCGGCTCACCGAGTCCTCATTCAGAGCCGCTATCTATTACCCCATTGTGCTTCCCCTGTTCCCAGTCTTTTGTCTCACGTTCACGCTCTGTAATCCCCTGCCTGGTAGTGGCACTCTCGTCTTGCTTGGGGCTAAATGCTTAAAAAAATAAGTTGATTAGGAAGTAAGAAACCGGAAGAGATTTCTACAAGCTAGAAGTGCGGGAGAATAAACTTTTAGCAGAAAAATTACGGTTAACTATTTTAAGTGTAAAACCAGGCTGTTTAGTACTACATTTAAATTGATAAAGTCTAGGTACAGTAGAGGAAATGTAGTCATGAAAATATACCATGAAAATATAATTATTATTTCTTCTTCTTCTTCTTCTTCTTCTTCTTCTTCTTCTTCTTCTTCTTATTATTATTATTATTATTATTATTCATGATAGCATCAACGATGGAAAATAGCAGATTATGTTTTGTTGTTCAGTGCACACTTTAGTGTCCTTTTGTAGTCATCTGAATTGAATGTTTGTTCTGATTGTTCTTGATGCATTAGAAGATACATATTCCATTCCATTATTTGCATTTATAGCAAAAAGAACGGAAACAGTTAAAAAGAAAAACAACTACAGTAATTGGCAATACAAAGAAGAGAAGGAATAATAATAAAAAAAGTGAAAGAGAGGGTAAGATAACCGCTTATCGCTCTTCACTCGTCAGAACTCGATCGAGGAAAGCAAAATTTTAATAAAGTAATTTCGAGCCAATTTCTAACTACAGTCGAGTTCATTGCAGCCACTTATGCACAAATACACTTGGCAAATGTACAAATCAATCTTCTTTCTCCCTCAGCTATGGGTAAAATAGTAGGATTGTAAAAAGATCATTTTTAGGGCTATACATGTTAATGCAAAAAGAAATTAGTGTTAAAATCAAGTAAAATATTTTTCGTCATTAAATAAATCAGAAATTATTGACAATCAGTCAAAGAATTATTTTTACAAACTAATAAAATTTGTTTCGGCTTTAAATAAAGCAGGAAAGGTTTGATAATCTGATAAAAGACAAAGAAATCAATCTGTGTCGACAGCAACTCCATATATTTGTCGGCAAACGGACATAGAATGATGTGATGAAGAGCAAAAATGTTGGAAAGAGGAACCTGTAGTTATTAATGAAAATATGCAATATCAGAGTGTAATGAGTATTCAGTGAATCATGACAGAAAATATTTCTTTCTTATGAACTTTCAAAATTTTATATAATGGAAACGAAATGAATCGGTTACAAAGAAAAAAAAAAAAACTTCTTCTCAGTATCTCCAAACAAATGAGAATTTACCCGGCGTGCAATTTTATCCAAAAGACAGTACGAAAAAGCCCTTTTGGTTATAAATCATTTCAGCAGACGTGAAGCTGATTTAATTTAAGGAAGGATTAGGCGGAAACATTTAATAGTCAAATGAGAATTTAATTGAACGACTTTGCTGGCATCGATTTAATTGCTGAAAAACTGAAAAAAAATTAAAAGATGATAATTGTATTTTACAAAAACCAAATAACGAAAAATAGCGTTCAAAATTGTGTATATTGTTCGTGTCAAAAACATTGCAGGCAAAGCGATTTCAATTGATCTTAAGAATATATTAATGAGAGACAAATGAACATATGTCTGACTGACTGTCTATCTATATAGCTTGCTATATAGCTTGCTTGTTAGCTAGCTCAGTCTGTTCAGATCGACCTTATCGACCTACCTAACTAGCTAGCGCGCTAGCCATCTTTCGAGCTCACTGTCCATTATCTATCTATCTATCTATCTATCTATCTATCTATCTATCTATATGTGTGTACTAAATATTATATATTATTTAAGGATGTGCTAGTCAAAGTGAATGTATATATATATATATATATATATATATAAAGGTCGTCTCTAAGTGTTGACTTCAATGTTTACTTTTATTTACACACGCTCTGTCTCTGATACTGAGCACTTTATTCAATATATATATATATATATATATATATATATATATATATATATATATCCCTTTTTTGGTGCGTTTGTAGATATAGGTCTCAAATTGCATACAGGCGTATATGATGTTTTTTTAGAACGTAATTTATGTATGTACTCTATTTATACGTGTATGTTTATACGTATATATATATATATATATATATATATATATATATATATATATGTATGTATGTATGTATTTTATTTTTGTAGGAAGATGTATGTACGTGCATATGTATCTTAAATTTATTTTTGTTTTTATTTTTGTATTTATTCATTTAAAATGATGCTTTTCTTATAAATATTATTATTTTTTTAATTTAAATAATCTTTTTGCATATACATACATACATACATACATACACATATATAGATAGATAGATAGACAGACAGACAGATAGATAGATAGATAGATAGATAGATAGATAGATAGATAGATAGATTTACAATTATTATTTTGTATATGGAAAATTATTCGTTTTGTTTTTTTTTTACTTTTTATAAATTTTTTTTTTAAGTAGACGGGTATCAATAACTACTTGGAAAGAAAATTCTCAAATTTATTTAATTTTAAACACCGAAGTGTTTTTCCCTTTCTTTGTCTTTTTCTTCAACATTTCTTTCTTTACCCTTTGCTCTTTTTCCTTTGTTTATTTCCTCTGTTCCTCGACTAAACTTCCCACATCCGATGGAAAAGAGGTCAATCTGTTTACTCTCAACCACTACTGTCTCCTTTTCTATATTACCCCCCTCCAGTCTTCTATATCTCCCCCCAACACTGTCGCTTTCTTTCTTTTCCCCTTCCCCTCGTTTTTGAATCTATTTTTTAAAACATAATTCATGTTTTAATATTTCGTTTTGTGTCTGGTAAACTTTTAAATCCATTTATTGTTGAAACCGTTTGGTTTGATGAATAATATTATAATTATTATAATATTAGCATGGTTATCTGAAGTCTTCTTTTTCTTAATTATCATTCGCTCTGTTCTTACATTGAGCTCTCGCTGAATCTATATCCTCTTTGGAATTAATTATCCATACGGATTACCAAATATTATCATATATTTATATATGTACAGATTGTATGACGTTAGCCTCCTATCATAACTGTCCGGGTTTCAATTCTCGGTAGTGGGTGCGGGCTGCTGATGACTCCCAAATATCAGACGAAACGGCCGTCCAGTGCTTCCTGCATTCTGTTGAGGTTTCTTCTAGACGCGATGAATTACTTAATTATCTCAAATCCTTCAAGCAATTTTTGTCACACAAATCTCTCTCTCTTTTTTTATATATATATATATATATATATATATATATATATATATATATATATATATATATATATATATATATATATATATATATTTTAGGCAGCATCTTTTCATTCATACACGTTTCATTAAATAATATAGACAAGTGTTGTCTATTTATTTTACGTAAATTTTTTTGTAACGTCTGATTGTTTACAGAGATGATTTCTAAGCAACGATAAACACGTGCATATAAGACGCTAGAAACGAAAATCGCACCGCATCATGACGTCACACATACTTCATACTTCTCCAATTCACTCTCGTGTGGTCATGTGTGACGTCATTAGATGCGGTGCGATTTTCGCTTCTAGCGTCTTATATGAACGTGTTTATCGTTGCTTAGAAATCATCTATGTAAACAATGACAGACTATCATCACTGTCTTGTCCGTATATTGCTTAATATGTTGTAACTGACATCTTTGATAATGGCTTATGTACGCCGAAAGCTTAGATTATATTAAAAATCATATGGATCAATATTGCGAATTTCTTTCTTTTTCGGAGAGAATTTTAGGAGAGGTGAGTGGAAGGGGTTTAAGTAAGAGAAATATGAATGTTGTCAGATGTCTAATGCATAAAGATGCATTTCGTGGTGACATACACACACCATAGACGATCTAATGTTGAAGATCAGAATAAGAGGGAGGGAAAGACGAGGTGGGGTAGAGATATGGGGCGAAGGAAAGTAAACTTGAACGACATTTACTGAAAGGGCCGCTGTGTAATTGAGAAAATTTGACAAATTTAATATCGACTACAGGTTACAAATCAAATATAAACATATAAAAAATAAATATAACGATTATCTAATCTAGCAAGGACCTATATTTCTATGTTCAAACACACATGCGAATACACACATACACAATAACATATACACGTATATACATACACATAGGCGTGTACCCACATACACACATGCATATACCCATGTACACACATATATAAATATATCCACACATACACTTATCCATCTATAGCCATATACACACACTTTTCACATACATATACATACATACACACATACATATATATATATATATATATATATATATATATATATATACACATCCATACACACACACACATACACACACACACATATATATATATATATATATATATACACACACATATATATATGTGTGTGTGTGTGTGTACTTGTTATCATAGATATGTATATGTGCGTATATGTTTATGTTTATATATTTATATGTATGTATTTCTGTATGTATATGTATGTATGAGTGTATCTTTATGTGTGTTAATTTGTGTTTGCTGCCGCGTGTATATATATGTATATGCGTATGAATGTACACTTATTTCTGTGGGTTTCTTTATCCTGTTTTTCTTCGCCTAATATATAATGAAACTATCATCAACTTATATGATTAAAATACATTTTTATTGATATTTGTGGTTTTGGAATTTTCGTTTTAATATATTAAATAATATTATTTTTAACTATTTTTATCTTTGTATATTTGCTCCCTTAAGTTATAATTTAATAAGTGGTTAGCATTTATTTAATGATACTTTAAGTCTTAAATATTTATTGGTTGTGGTATCTGATTGACTAGGTTCATTGTCAGTGGATGTGTGTACGTGTATCTATCGGTGTCTATGTGTATGTAGAGTGTATTCACATTTAATTGTGTGTGTGTATAGGTGTTGGTTTCCCCGTTTCCTTTTTTCATAAAGGGTTGTAGTGATGTTCCTGTCTCGCTGCCTTTTCTTTTCTTTCTGTTTTTTTTTGTGTGTGTGTGTATATATATATATATAAATATGTCTGGGTGCTTATGTATTATAATCTGATTGTGTTTCTTTTTGTTGTTTTTCGCGTGAGTTTAAGACCACATTCACACACTTTAGAATAAAAAATATATATACATGTATTGTCAAATGACCGGATATATTGTAGCGTCTTGTCGAACGTAATTTCAACGAAGAAATAAATTGAATAAACATGTATATTTTTTCTTTTCTCAATAATTTTGTAGTTTTTAAACTTAGTAGTGATTAAATTTGGATTTTAAAATTGCCAGTTTTTAATTTTAATATTAAATTTTATCATATAATTTTATAATTATTGGTTAGTATAAATTATTTTTAATATTACCCGTATTTTAAAGATCTGAATAGCTATTATAACATGATTTCGTTGTCAAGCTTTTGAATCTTTCTATACTTGGTTTTTGATTGGTTATTCTAGCTTTTGTAACAATGTTTCCCCCTAGTGTAGGATCGTTAATTAATCTGAAACTTTTAAAACCATTTATTTTATCTTCAACATCATCACTTGATAAGACACCGAATGTGTTGAAACAAAATGACTGTTTTTGTAGTGATTTTATAACATACTTATGTTATAATTTTTTTATAAATAATAATTATATATATATATATATATATATATACAGACTTACATATACACACATACACACACACACACATATATATATATATATATATATATATATATATAAACCAAAAATATACAAAAATACATACACATACATACATGCATATATACACACATACATCCATCCGCATCCACTCCTACATATGTATAAACACTTACCCACATATATACATACGGACATACGCATACGTGCACATAAACATATATACCTAAAACCTTACATTTCTATACAATTTCATACACCCATCAAAACAAATAAATAATGTATCCCTATATCTATCCGTCTAACTATATATACATACTTATATACGTACATATACACCCATATACAAATATATATGAGTACATACATACCAAAACATACACATATATACATATACATTATATATATATATATATATATATATATATATATATATATATATAAAAGTTGCAAATTAAAAAATAATAATGTTCTTTTTATGAATGTATTTATTTATTTGTATATATATTTCATATTACAGATTTCTTCCTTCCAATCTGAAATATCAAATATATATACAAATAAATAAATACATTCATAAAAGAACATTATTATTTTTTTTAATTTGCAACTTTTTCTATATATACATATTAAGAAAATATATGTGGTTCTCATTAGGCTATATATATATATATATATATATATATATATATATATATATATATATATATATATATATTAAATGCATTATAAATGATGTTTTGTGGCTTACCAACATGTTGTGGGGTATTTAAAATCAAAATATATTATAAATACATGATAATGGTTTTCAATTGCAATTCCTAATATTTAGCCCATTCATGCCTTTCCTAAGGATATTTCTGTTTAAGTGAACGTAATGGACACGACTAGAATTCGAACTCGGATCTTCTATTTCTTATTCCGAGCCACTAACCGTGACACCCCTCGCACATCCTGGCCTACTGCACCTTGTGCTCCTAAGCAGTCACCCGCCTATACAATGACCAGACTCGATGTTACTTAACCTCGGAGAACCTATGTTTCAAGGTGGTATGGCCGTAAAACTGCCCCCTCTCTCTATGTGTTTTGTGCGTGATCGTGTGTCTGTATTTGTGGACGCGTGTGTGTTTGTGTGTGCGCGCGCGTGCGCATTTAGATCTTATTTCCTAAAAGAAATCACTATTGATTTTATAAAATTGAAGCTCATCCAGAAAGGTGAAGTAATATTTTTTTCGTGATTTCTAATCAAACTGATTTTATGTACTGCTTTTTTTTTTAGGGGGTGGGGACACAACGTCTACCGCTGAATACTTCGAATGAAATAACAACACATACCCAACTATTGTGCAAAAACTGACTGTCTGAAGTCATTTTATAAGTTTGGTCATGTCTGACGTGAGACAAGAATTAAGCATTAACCCCTTAACCGCTTCAGGAGAAAAAAACTAAAAAGAACTGATCTGTTAGTGAAAGAAGATTCATTCCTTGTCTATTTTTTGAAGTTTTGAAAACTTTCTTCTATTTTATCTCTATCTATAAAAGGCAGGATGTGTGTGTGTGTGTGTGTGTGTGTGTGTGTGTGTGTGTGTGTGTGTGTGTGTGTGTGTGTGTGTAACGAATGCACGGCTGCAATTTTCAACGGATTTACACCAAAATTTACATCCTCATGCTCCAAGTTAGTGGAAAGGCCAAGACCGACTTTGCATTTCCCAACTCCCATCGATAGTGGAGATAATCGATTTTTTCATGCTTCTACGGCAGTTTTCATGTAGTTTGCGGCCATTTTCTACTGGCAAGAATGAGAGCCTATAGCTGGCTGCCACGAATAGATTCTATTGGCCAACGTGAGAACCAACAGCTGACTGACACGAATGTTAACTAGCATGCTAGCATGCAAAAAAAAAAAAAAAACGATAGCTGCATTCGTCACAAGTGGGAAAAATTTAAATCTGCATGGCACTTTACTCCAATTGGCTCATTCGTTTGCTTAAACTCAACGTTGATTCTGATTCCGCAGAACTGGGTTGAGTGTTAAAAAGTATTAGTTGGTAACATTTTTTTTCATTCGGTTTTTCCAGTTACGAGTCCT